AACTCAAAATATCTTCAAACTAACGAAATATAAAGTTATTAGGGAGGAAAATCCGTCTGGATAACAGCAGACTAGGGTTGGGCAATATTTGCAAAAAAAATTAATCACGATTAATTGGGGTATTTCGCTGATAACGATTAATTTGACGATTAATCCCGTGGAGTCCCTGGACACTTTTATGCCCTAGTCACATGACCAATTTAGTGGGAAAGATTTGCTCTTTGTAAAAATCTGTTTACATCAAATTTAAAATTGTGTTGATAGATAAATAAATTACAGAACCTTTTTTTTAATATTCGTAGTATTTAAAGCGGAGAGGAGCACCGACGGGACTGACCGAGGAAATCTCCAGTCAGTCTGCCTGATGGCATTACTCGTATTAATCGTCAAGTACCAAAAAAATAATCGATTAATGTTTTTCTGACGATTAATTGCACACGACACGATTATGCCCAACCCTACAGCAGACTGACTGCTCATAAAATATACGACAGGTCTGGACCACTCGTGAATTTTGTTTTCATCTCAAAAAAATCTTAAAATAAAAAACATTGATAAATGCCACAAATTCTCCTAAATCACTCGTACGCACAACTTAAGAACAACTCTGTGCGTATGAACGGTTCTTGCATGAGGCCCAACGTTAGAAAACCAAAGCCCTGACCACAGTCAGCTCACTGACCCTGAGCCTGCAGTAGCTTGAGTGTGGCCTCGGCCCGAGCTCGAGCTTCTCTCTGAGCTTTCGTCAGCAGCTTCCCCTCCTTCTTCAGTCGCTCCTTCCTCTCCTTCTCCTTCTGTTTTTTCTTTTCTTTACGCTCTTGCTCCAGTCGCTCCTAGAAACACAACCACAAAGCTGAGCAAAGAAATTGATTTTAATTTAAAAACAGAGGAAGGAGGTGGTGCTTTATGTTTTACCTGCTCCTGCCTCAGCTTCTCCTGCTCCTCCAGCCTCCTCTGTCGCTCTTCTTCCTCTTGTCTGGCTCGTTCCTCTTCCTACAAAAGAAAACAGTTATTAAATTGTTTACAGTTACTAATGCACATGCATAAAAACTGGGCAGCATGCCCCAAAAACATTCACAGCTATTTCTGGTATTCATTGTTGGTATTTAAATAATAATAATAATAATAATAATAATAATAATAATAATAATAATAATAATAATAATATTTTATGTTGTGATAGTGAAATGTCCTCAGTGCGCGATGATGCAGGATGTCCAAACGACTGAAGAGCACAGCTGAAACACAAGTAAATAACACTGTTTGGACTATTTGAACAAAAGTAAAAGGAATGAATATATCAAGATTAGTGATGAAAAGTATTGATTAATGAATTAATCATTATTAGTTGATTATTATCATAGTTGATTGATTTTAATCAAACAACTAACAATTAAATGATTGACATTTTCTTAAAAACATGGGTTTTCTCTTGTTGAAAATGTTGAAAAGTACATCCTTATATTTTAACAATTTATTGTGTCAGCTGTATTAAATACTGACTGAATAAACAAAAACATTGTGAATTTCTCACATATTATTAAACTTGGACAAATTTATAAAATGTAACAAAACTGAAATCTATTAGGCTGCTGAATGAGGTAAAAAAAATGAAAATTAAATATGTGAAACACAATCAGCCATGAACAGAAGGATGTAAAACTATTGCTAATAATTGTTTTAGAATTTATTGACATTAAATTCATGATTTTTCCCTTCTTTACTTTTTACTGCCTTGTTTTTGGTTCTGTCTGTGGTTAAAACTAAAGATGTTTTTTTTTTTTTTTTAACTCTAAGTGGATCTACGTGCAGGACTGGAACCTGCTTACGTCTGGGGCAACATAAACACCCTACTCTGTTCTCTAGAGCTCAGAACTGATGCTTGGTTCTGTTGGACTAGTCACCCTAGTTCTGGAGAAGGTGGGCCACCTCACCCCCCTCTGCACAGAGTCAGACCTCTGAGCTCAGCTCATTATTTTTACTAAAACTGACTAAATACTACAGACACTGAACGAACTCTAAAATCCAAATGCGTGTAGCACTTACAAATTTCACATATTTAATTATTTTCACCCGCTCTGGCTGTCTCTTCATTGTTGACAAACTTCATTCAACCTTCATGTCATTTTATTTTCTTCATCCTGTAGATTTTTTGCTTTTGGACAAATAACCTTGGGCCTCAGTTAGAAAAAACATCGGAGGGTTTTTATTGTGTCTCAATAGGAGGAGGAAACTGATGAAGGATTGCAGTGTTTTGTTTGTTTTTTCCTCATGGGACCGTGTTTTCTGCACCAATCAGAAATCGTTAAAAAAATGGCTGTTTTTCATCATAACTTTGATTTTACTTGGCCTATCAACACAATTTAAGTGTTTTAAAGTTTGAAGTCTCTACTTTTGACCCAAATTGAAACAGTGTCACAAAGAGGGCCCATCTTTTCCGTCCGCTTAAGTGATGTAATCAATTAATCGACTGGAACAGGTTTTAACATAAAGGCCCTGTCACATAATAATGTTTTAAACAACTTATGGCAATTTACGAAATAGTTTTTGTCTAAATTACTAATAAAAGTTATATATTGAATCAATGGCCCTCATGCAAGAACATGTTTGTATTCTTATCCTAAATTTCTCTTACTTTTGTTCGTACAAAGGGTTCGTACGAACATGCCACGTCAGATTCAACAAACTCCTCTATCTTCAGGAAAAGTGTGTAAATGAGCTGCGTAAATTCCACCTGTTCTATCCAGCTGCTCGTGCACGC